TGTTGGGCGGTGCTCCTTGGACCACACGGCAAGAAGGAGAGCAAATCCCATTCTAAGTGGGATTGCTCTTGATTTGTTTCCTTGTTCATATTTAGTGATTTGTTTCCTTGTAGGAATAGAATTCCTTTTGTGTTTTGGTCTTTATTTTATCCTCTCCTATAAATAAAGGAGAAACTCCTTGTACTTAGCAGAACAATTCAATATACAGAATATTTTCCCTCTTATTATTTTCTTCAAGATCTATATTTATTTGGTAGTCATTAAGAGATAAAATAGTTGTTTATATTAGGTCTTGTAAAATGAAAAAAGATCCATGACGAGCCCATAGAAAATTTGTGAAAAAGATCCACATTTTATTTGTGGACCTTCATACCACAATAGCACAATTAAACATTAAAATGTTCATTTGTGAGAACTTCGATATAGTTTTGCAAAGAAAGCACAAACTTTTGTTGAATATGTATTACATTATAATCGAGTCAATAGCACTAAAAAAGACACAGTTTATTTTTGAGACGGAATAATAATGATACTTCGGTATACTTTAGTGTTAATTGATGTCCACCGAAGTTAGTGACAAGGCATCGACGCATCCATTTCAAATTTTTTAAATGATACTCCATTTTTTCAAAAAAAAATGTCATTGTTTACTATTTAAAAATTACGAAAACTTTGTTTATTTGTACATTTTCAACGAATATTTGATTAAATAAAATATTCTTATCTAACAAACTTTTTGGTATAGGTTTGAAATATAAAACTTCATTTTTTATTTTTATATCAATCTTTTAGTAGGGGCAAGGTCTGCGTACACACATCTTCCCCAGACCTTACTATACTGGGATTCAACTGGATTGTTATTGTTGTTGTTGTTTTTTAGTAAAATAAATTAAAAAATTTGGCTTCATTTTGGATAATGTGACAAACACTTTATCATGGAATAGATTAATTCTCCTTTGGAGTATTACTCCGCAAGGTACAGTGCATTCTTTAACTGATTAACTAATTTTGTGTGAGATTGTTGGCCCCACGGGCAAAAACAGTCATCAAAAAGAACAAATTCGAAGAACGACACGTATCGAAAAAATCTGTTGCCCCAAAGATCCCCTCCTTTTCTTCTTCCTCTCTATAAACCTTTCTTCACTTCACTCTCTGCAATTCTCACTCTAATCACATATACATACAGAGAGAGAAAGGGACCGGTCAGTGAGATATAGATTCACTAAAACCTTCATCATCTCTCTGCATTTCAAGAATCCCCATGAAAGACCCAGATTCCGTCCGGCAGAATACCAGCAAGATCAAGATCGTCGTGAGCTTCAACGGCACATTCCGGCGCCGGCCGCCGGAAGGAAGGCTGCGGTACACCGGGGGAGAGTCGAAAATCATATCCGTCGACCAAAGCATCAGCTTTTCCAGACTCAAAGCCAGAATCTTTGACCTCATGGTGGAGGCAAACGGCGGCGCCGCCGTTACCTCCGCCTTCTCACTCCGTTACCACCTCCCGGATTCCCAGGAAGACCGGCCCCTGGTTCCCGTATCATCAGACGAAGACGTTTCGTCCATGTTTCATGAGTTCTTACGGCTCGATTATCTGGGTAAGCCCACTAGGCTTTGGGTTTTTGTGTGCTTTGATGATTTGAACTCCCCCCCTGATTTTAATGCAATTCCCCTGAAGAAAACAATGAATGGGAAGAACAATGGGTTTGGGGGTGAAAAGGGCAAGAGAATGAGTGATAATTCTTTGAGAAAACTTGTGTTGAAGCAGCAATTGCTGGGAAAGAAGTCTGATAGGGTTAGGGTTCTGAAGGGTGAAACTGGAAACACAGAGAAGGGATTTCCAGTTGTAGATATAAGTTCTAAGAACTGTTATGGTCAATTTGGTCCAAGGGACACAACAAGAAGCTTGGGGATTCTTCACAAACCTCATCAAGAGTTATGTAGAATGGAAGATTTTCACACTTTTGGCTTATTGGACAATAATAGGCCATATAATATTGGAGAGTGGGAAAATTTGGGGTGTGGGCCCCTTAAGGACACTTTAGAGGGCACAATTCTTGCATCTATGGCTGATGTGTCTCTCAAGAATGTGTCATTGTCATCATCACCATCTACAAAATTTGAGCAGAAAATTCCATCCCCTTCAAGAATGGAGGATGAATCCCCTCCACTTGAAAGATCACCTCAACCTTCTTCTGCTCCTCATAAGGCAATGGATCCGATAGTGGACAAATTCCCTATCAGTTTGAGTTGTGATGAACAGGTACGTTATCATATGCTTTCTTTTTTTCACTTGCAAGAGTTTGACTTTGAAGAACATTTTAGTATAAAAAGTTGAAATTTTGAAACTATACACTAAGTAACACTCCGGGTATGTAACAGCATTTTACATACGCTAAAAATTTTATTCCGTATTGTTTATACTCCCTTTGTCTTGTTGGGTATTTCCAACCTTTAGTGTAATTTACAACGGGACAGAAGGAACCTAGGTCGTTAAAATGGAACCCGGGTCCAATAGAGCGCTGTGGGACCTCAGGGTCATAATTGTGATACACAAAACGGGTGCCAAATGAACCCTGGTGAAGTAGTACATATGAAGAGATCAGACTAAAAGCCAAAGTGTTGAACTTGAAAGAACGGATGAAGTAGGCGGGTACTAATGAAATATGTTCTTTGTGTCTAAGGGTGAAAATACGGAGACAAACAAATGTGCAAGGGCAAATAATGGTACAATTCTTGCTGATGGTGGTTTGTGCTGCACTCATGTGGGTAATGGGCGGCTTCAGGTAATTAAGCCAAAGGCATAGTTAGTTAAAGCCATTTGAGATTTTAATATGTCTTGCAATGGTTTTTGGTTCATTTCTGTTTATCTCTGCAATTCTATTAATATTTTTCGAAACCGTTGCAGAGGATTAACAGGTATGAACTTGAATATGTCAAAGAACTTGGCTGTGGAACTTATGGAACTGTTTATTATGGGAAATGGAAGGGTTCTGATGTTGCCATTAAAAGGCTAAAGCCCAGCTGCTTCGCTGATGGTACAATGGAGGACCGATTGGTAAGTACGTCGTAGCATACGGTCCAATGGGAAAGGTCCCGCCATAATGGTGTCATGTAGTCAAATTTTACCTTGCATTTTTTAGTCGGGTCTCTTGTAAACATCCTCTCTACTACCTAGTAGGGGTAAGATCTGCATAGACACACCCCCAGACCCTACACTTTGTGGAATTCTCGTAGCTTGCAGGGTATTTGTGATTGTGAGAAGGAAAATAAAAAGCTTTCTTCCTATGTTTATTAGGGACACATTAACTTTATCAAGAATGTGATTTTGTTGGTTGTACCCACAGGTTGCAGACTTTTGGAAGGAAGCTCAAATATTAGGTAGCCTTCATCATCCAAACATAGTGGCATTGTACGGCGTAGTTACGGATGGTCTCAAGAACAATTTGGAAACGGTGACCGAGTACATGGTCAATGGCTCTCTTAAACAAGTTCTGCGAAAGAAAGATGGGTAAATATATATCTTTTATTCTCATTAAATATATGCTTCTATGTTCCCACTTCCGATGCGTCTAATTGAAAAGGGAAAAAACCTCAAAGATTGCGTACATTTTGAACTTTCAAACCCCAATGAAGTTTCAGATCATACTGGGTTTTGGATGTTGATATGTTAAGGATTGGGGTGGTGATTATGATGTGCAGAACCATTGATTATCGGAAACGGTTGCTAATAGCATTGGATGCAGCATTTGGTTTGGAATATTTGCACCAAAAGAACGTTATCCACTTTGATTTGAAATCACACAACTTCCTTGTCAATATGAGGGATCCCCAACGCCCGATATGCAAGGTAATTAAATCCAACTCCTTAAAGGTAGATATCGATATATTCTCTCGTTAACCATCCCAATCGTCATCACCTGAACCCCAACTACTTGAGGTCAATGTCATCCTAAATTGTCAGTCATGTCACACAATGCTTGTTCTCTTGTTATAAATATAGATTGGTGATCTAGGACTGTCAAAGATTAGACAAAGGACACTTGTTTCAGGAGGAGTACGAGGAACATTGCCGTGGATGGCTCCTGAGCTTCTGAATGGAGAAAGCATGGTGTCGGAAAAGGTTTTATTACTTACCTCTTCTTCTTCTCAATAATCTCATCTACCATTTCGCTCATATCGAACTTGTGAAAGACTCCAGTTGCACTTGAGGAGATTGTCATTCCTCTCATTGTCACTTAGTTTTGGGATGGAATCCCTCTGTTTTATACTCCCTCTCACAAGGAAAGATCTTCCCAAATGTCCTTTTTTTTGGTCCGGGAAAGGTCTTCTCGTTACTTTTTTTCAAAATACCACAACTACCCTCACTTTATTTTTTACACCTCACCCAATATTCCACCCCCACTTTATTAAAGGTAATTTGGTAAACTATATATTTTTTCAATTCTCCTTAAAAATCGTGAAAAGTCAACTTGGAAAGCTCATTCCCGGACGAAGGGAGTAGTGGAGTACATTAAACCATGTGCATAATTAGATGTTGATTCTTTGTGTGTTTAGGTTGATGTCTACTCCTTTGGGATTGTCATGTGGGAGCTCTTGACCGGAGCCGAACCGTATTCGAACATGCGTGCAGAGGAAGTCATATGTATGTCTTCTTAGTGGTATTGTTATAGGTTACTATATGTTGTTAGAAAACAGTCGGTAGTTAGCGATTAGTTGTTTCTGTTAGCTGGTTTGTACATGTTTTCCATGTAGGTGGCATTATAAAAGGGAGTTTACGACCTGAAATCCCGAACTGGTGTCATCCGGGGTGGAGATATCTTATGGAGAAGTGTTGGGCCTCGGATCCAAGGGAAAGGCCCGCTTTCTCGGACATTGCAAGGGAGCTAAGAGCCATGGCTTCCTCCATGAACATCATCTGAAGCTAATTTTTTTATGCTTTAGAATATACACAATGTGTGTATGATTGTCACTTGTAGTGTCAACCTTGGGGTTATAGTAACATTGTCTTATAGTGAATGCCAAGTGTAATTGAGAATAAGAATTATGCAAATATTGTTCATAGGAATACTATGTGAAGATTTTGTTTTTGTTGAAGTCTCACATAGAATATATTGTCATGTTGTATGTAAAAAAAGGATGAGCTCCATCCCCGATGGCCCCCTCAGACCCGGCTGGACGGTTAGTGAAAGGTCACATTGTATGTAAGTAGATGATGCCAGTGTTCTGAATAAATGAATAATGTGTTTTACCTTCTTTGATTTCCCTAATTTTGATTCTCATTTTCTTTTCTTTTTTTGCATTTTTTGAGTCATAATTTGCCCATCCTTATAAGACAAGAATTCCTTCATAAACTTCGCATTGGACGATGCATGTCGAAATCTGAATTTTAAGGGTAGAAGTCCTTTTATGTATTCGTCTTGTTTAACTTTTTCGAATAAAATTGGGTAACCTTTGGACTACAATCAAATAAAAAATGTAATGTACTCCCTTTGTCATTCATTAATCCATTTAATCCTCATTATTTCCTGTTTAGTTTGTCCCAAATTATTCTTCATTTTTCCTTTTTGGAAAGTTTTTTTGTGGCTCACTTTTTTTCTTCTTCTCAGCATTAGTTTCAACCATATAATTTCACTTTTCCCGTGCACAGTCAAATTAGGATTATTAATTTGAGACGGGTGGGGTATACTAGGAGAAGAATAATTTTATTAAATTTATCTTGTTGAGAATATTTAAAATTGTAATTAATTGTATTAATATGTAATACAAATAATTGAAGTTTAAAGCTTATCTAATTTTGACTCAAAAAAGTTAAACTGAACGGATAAAGTATGATTTAATATTTGATGTACCGTTAGACATTCTCATTTGCGTCATTTAACCGATAGTGGACTATTTATGTTGTATTTTTATTATTCTACGTATAGTTACATTATCGTGTTATTTTTTCCAATTATACATACTCCGAAATCATCAATGTATAACTTTATATGGTCGTGAAGTTTACCTAATGGATGTTAGATGTTACCATGAAAATCTTGATAGATTTTATGTCTCTCTGCATCTTCAAATAAAAGATACACTTAATATTCCATGGTCATGCTAACTTTTGTTCAGTTATGTATTTTTATTAATAATTTTATAAGATACCATACTAGGGGTGGGCACGGATCGGGATGATCCGTGTTTTAGGTTGTCCCACGTCTTGTTCCGTTATATATAAATGGTCCGGAACGGTTCGGATTACAACCTTATCTCAGTTTGTCCCATAAAATTCGGGATCAGAATAAATCGGAATGAATTCGGGTCGTCCTATTTTGTCCTAAATCGCAAATATAAGAAGGGGGAGAGGGTGACATTTCATTCAAAAAAAGAAACATGTAGCCATCCAACAAAAAACAATGAGTGGAACGAGTCTAAATAAATTTCAAGCCTATGATGTTGATACGGACTCCGTATCGGATAAGGAAGACTTTGAGCGTATTCAAGCTCTTGAGAATATGGGACGGGGAAGAAGAAGAATTGAGACGAAGAGAATCGGTGAATCGAGAGAGGAGAAGGGATTAGGATTTGATTTGTTTATTGCTTGATTATTCTAAAGGAGTTACATCTCTATATATAGGAGACAGAGTAGCCCTAGCTAACTAAACCTAACTTGACGGTTCAATAAAAGCGACGAGGAAAAGAACCGTAAAAAAACCTCGAAGGAGCTTATAATTTCGTTCACCTAATAAAACCTAAATTACAATATAATAATAATAATAATAACAACAACAACAACAATAATACCATTAAATATCCTACCCTACTATCCATAACACTCTCACCCCCTTAGAAAACCACCTTGTCCTCAAGGTGGAGGCTCCCACTCGTTCTTTTGGACCGGAGAGAAGGTGCTGAACCCAAAACGATATCCACTTCCCGGCCAATTATCAACCAACATGCCTCTTAGAATGTGATGGGAGAAATATGAGATAGAGCCATTCACGATACTTGTTGCTTGCATAAGAACTTCAGTACTTGACATCTCAATTTTTTTGGAGCATCCATAAAAAAATACATCATCTCTGAAAACTTGCACCTGAAGATATTGGTCGCGATGAGAGTCGTGCCTATCAACATCGTTTGAAAGAACAACATTGGCAACGAGCACGAGAACAACGTCAGGAATAGGACCAACATTAATTTCCTCCTCAGATTCCTGGTCAAGAGAATCGGTGTGTTGCATAGTCACCGTATGGGTCAAACTTGGTGGTGCAGACGGAGCACTGATGAGATTCCTTAGCGCGTCCAACACATGCGTTCTGAAATTTTGTAACTCCAAAGTAATTTGACTCGACACATTTGAGGAATCACGAACCAAATCCTGTATTGAACACGAGATATCCACCTCAAACATAGATAAGTCGGAGTCATAAGTTGATTGACCCTCAATATTAGCGGCTGAGCGGAGCGTCTTGATAATTTCATCAAGTTGAGCATAAACTAAGCATACTCCTTCATCAAACTCAATTTTTCCATGTAAAACAATCTCCATTAAATTGAAAAGATTATCAACAATGAGTGTATCAATAGAGGGCAGAGAATCTCTAAAAATATAATCTCCAAACATAATGAATTATTTGGACGGCCACAAAAATCTGAGCAAGAAAATCGGCGGTAGGAAAAAAAAAATATCCACTCACGCACCGAACGTCGGAGAATCGATTTGTATGCTGCGCATTCCCCAATCTGCTGCACTTAGGGGTGGACACGATACCGGTTCGGTACCGTGACCGGTGACGGTACCACCGGTACCCGCCACTGTCACGCCGTCTCGTTCGTCTCACCGGTTCCGGGAACCGATACCGCTACCGCCCACTTCGGTACCGGTTCCGGTACCCAATTTTCGGTACCGGCACCGACGGTACCGGTCCGGTATATTTTTTTTCTTTTTTGCTTCCTATCCGTTGCATTGCTGCGAAAAAACAGAGGGGGGGCCTGCCTCAATGGCTAAATAGCCGTTTGAGGCATTGGGGGGAGGGGGGATAAACTTATAAATACTTCCATTTTTTCAAAAAAAAAATCACTCAATCCATCTCTCATTCTCTCAATCTATCAATCTCTCAAATCTCAATATCTCAATTCTCAAATCTCAATCTCTCAAATCTCAATCTTATATTATTATTATTATCTTTTATATATTTTTTAAAATATTTTATATATTAATATATAAAATTTCGAAATTAATTTAATTTTTGAAATTTAATATTTTATTTTATTTAATATCAAAAAATATATAAGTTATATTTTAAATATATTCTTTACTTTTTGAAATTTTCGAAATTTTAATATATAAAATTTCGATTTTTTTTTAAATTTTCCAAATTTAATATATTTTTTAATATAAAAAAAATATATATTAAAATGTCGAGAGAGTCCGGTAGAAGGTCCGTGGATATGGGCGACGTGAACCGAAGATTGAGTAAAGGCAAAGCTAAAGCCACCTCCGACGGTTCGACCTCACGCGGATGCGGTTCTCGAGGAAGACACTCTGTCTCTTCCTTTCCTACTATCCCCGATCACTTAATCGGGGACGCTATGACAGATGAAGAATTCGACCAGATTTATTCTGGTAGAGGGGACGCTAATCTCCCCACTCTTGATAGTGTATTCGAAGATCTTGATGAAGCAGGACTGGATAATCTAGACGGGGACGAGGAGCCTACACCACAGAGCAACGACGTCGGCGTGGAGGCAGGTGCGCCCGAGACCTCTCGAGGTCCGGACAAAGGTAAAAAAAATATAAATCAGATTTATTTGTTTATCATTTTGACAAAGACACAAAAGATGGCATAGTTTATGGAACTTGTAAACATTGCGGGACCGTGATAAAAATGGGAGTTTCCGGCGGTTATGGCGGTCCGGAAAAACACCTAAGGTCGAGGCATCCCGTGGAATACGCCAAATACGAGGCAAAAAAGAAGGGACGACAAGAAGTGCAGACCCAAATTTCTCGGTTTGCTAACAGAGGTAAGGGCGGCCTTTTTGCTTATAGCGACGAGCAAAATAAGCAAAAAATGGCCGAAATGATTTGTGAAGAAAATTTGCCATACATGTTTTCTGAAAAACTTGGTTTTATGGATTATTGTCAACAGGCATTAAACCCTAAAGCACGAGGTTTTTCAAGAAAAACAATTAAACGAGAAATTATTCGCCAGTATAAAATAGAAAAAATTAATTTGGCAAATTTTTTTCTTAATTTTAATTCTCGTGTTGCTATTTGTTCTGATATTTGGGGTGAAACTTATCATAATTTGTCTTATATGGGTGTTACTTGCCATTGGATAGATAGTGATTGGATTATGCATAAACGTGTTCTTGCATTTCGTGATTTCAATGATCAGCATACTGCTGAAAATATTTTTCTATTGCTTCAGAGTATTCTGCGGGAATATAGGGGGGGCGAAACCGGCCGGTCCGGTACCGGAACCGCCGGTCCGGGAACCGGAACCGGTACCAGCTGGCACGGTGACGGTTCCGGTGACATGGGGTGGCGGTACCGGAACCGTACCGTGTCCACCCCTAGCTGCACTTGGTTTGCAATGGGAGGTGTACGGCCCAAAATCAAATTGCCAAACTAGATTCCCCAATTTTGCTGTACGTTCCACAATTTTCTTTTCTTCCCTTTTTTTTTTTTTTGCTTTTTTGTTGTTTTTTTGGTGATTGCGAATCAATGAGAGCACAACAAATTGACAAACCTTCTTGTGGACGGGGAGCAGATCTTGGACAGCAGAAAGTAGTAAGGGTGAAACCCTAGCCTCTATGATCTGAATTCGTTTTTTTTGTCGTTCACTCTCAATGAGAGCACCAATGATACGGACTCCGTATCGAATAGGGAAGACTTAGAGCGTCTTCAAGCTCTTGAGAATATGGGACGAGGAAGAAGAAGAATTGAGATGAAGAGAATCGGCGAACCGAGAGAGGAGAAGGGATTAGGATTTGATTTGTTTATTGCTTGATTATTCTAAAGAAGTTACATCTCTATATATAGGAGACAAAGTAACCCTAGCTAACTCTAAACCTAACCTGATGGTTCAATAAAAGCGACGAGGGAAAGAACCGTAAAGAAACCTCGAAGGAACTTATAATTTCGCTCACCTAATAAAACCTAAATTACAATATAATAATAATAATCATAATACCATTAAATATTCTACCCTACTATCCATAACAGATGTTAACTTAATTAAATAACTAATTAATTAAAGAATGAGTGTATTTTGATTTTGGACTAGAATTAGTATTATATATTACTCCCTCCGTCCCCCTGTATTCGTCCACATTTGACTTTTGAAACTGTTCATCTAAGCACTTTGACTTATCAAATTTTCTCAATGTGTAAGCTTAAATATAGTCATGTGTGATCTTGTTTGATTTATCTTAACATATAGATTATTAATATATAATTTTTATAATTTTTTAATATACAAATTAAAAGATAAAATGGATTAAAGAAGTGCATTGGATGGTGTGTAAAAATGAAAGTGGACAAATACAGAGGGACGGAGGGAGTAGCAGAGTAGATGAAACGGGACGGATCGATATAAATTTTAGTTGTCCTGCTCATGTCCCATTTGATATTGGGACGGAACGGGTTCAGGATAATAAAGAATGTGTCCCAATATATCGGTACAATTACAAAATGGATCCGAGATTTTTTTGGAACGGTCCAACGGGAACGGATTTCACGCCCACCCCTATACCATACTCATATCAACTCTTGCTTTATGGAACTCTATGCATATTTTCTTTTTGTTTTCTACCGATTTTTAAATAAAATGAAGTAAAAGATACTTCAATTTACCTCGTAATTCTCTCCATATTTTTTATTTGTGGACGATATTCCTTCCCTTTATTAAAGATATTAGAAATTATAAATGTGGCCCTTCTCGCTCAGTACAAACGATATTTCCTTTTAGATCTTGTCGTCACGAGAAACTCATCATACAAGAATATACTCTTACACACCTAAAACCTACACTCCTCATGTTACGACTCATGGACTATTTGTATTCATCATAAATTTAATATCAATATACTAACTCATTATATATATATATATATATATATATATATATATATTTATATTTATATATATATATAGAGAGAGAGTTTGTTTTGTTAACAGAAAATTAACAAAAATAGTTTTTTAAATAGTTATTATGATATTTAATTATAATCACATAACTTTCTTACGTACGGAGTATATTATTATAATATTAATTATAATTTATTTTGTTAAAGCCAGAACCCTTTTTTCTTGTCTCGTCTAGGACCACCGAATCCCCCGGGGTTTGATAAAATTTAATTTGATTTATTTAAGTAGTTGTCTAAAATTTAAAATAATAAATATATATTTAAAATTAAATTAAAAGTTTTATGAATTAAGATATACAATGATAGTCTATTTAAATGAATAATCTATAAAAATATGTAAACAAAAAAGATATATTTAACCATGTAAAAATATTTTAATTCAAGATAATTTTGGGAAATATTTTATAATTTCAAGGAGTGTACTCCTCTTTTAATTCTAAAATTGGCTTTCTTCTAGAGAAGAGAACCAAAGTTGGATTCTCACTCTCGTGTTTTTAATGTTATAGACTCGTTTACAAAGTATTACGTAATATTTGTTCATAATATTCTCACACACAAATAGTCAATATTTTTGTCTCTATTAGAACCGAACTTGGTTGAACTTCCTCATGAATACATGGGATAATTTTGGATCTCATGTTTCATACACACACACACACACAAAACTACTCCCTCCGTCCCTAAATAAACTTCCTCTTTCGTTTTTTCTTTGTTCCCAAATAAACTTCTCTTTTCCCTTAAAAACCCCTTTTACCCCTTACTTTTTCATACCCTACCTATCACATCATACCTTTTTACTAATAATCTACCTATCACATCTTACTTTTACACATCACATCAAGAGTATTTTAGGAAAGTCAACACAAAAATATCCCTCCATTAAATCCTCAAAAAGTCAAAAACGAAAGTTTATTTAGGGACGGAGGGAGTATTAATTTTCTATTAATTATTTGGATAATAATTATCTATTAAAGGCCTGTTTGGGAATAGCGTTAGCGATTAGCGTTAACGTTTTAGATAAAAATTTAACGGTGAATATTAATTTGAAAACGCTAACGCTAAACGCTGCCCGTAGATAGCCTTTTGAAAACGCTAACGCTAATTTCTAACGCTATTCCCAAACAGGCCATAATTCTAATAAAAAAATAAAAAAAGTATAAATTATATTTCCACGCGGAGGAAAAAAGGAAAGTGCTGATATACATCAACATATCCGTGGTTCACGCATTTTGCTGCTTCTGTTCAGCTACCTTCTTCTCTCACCGTCGGAACCCTAGGTTTCTGATTTCTCCGCTCCGGCTGCTTTCGGTTCCTTCTCCGGTCTTCCTTTGCCGTCTGATTGGTCGAGCTTGTGACTCTATTTTTGGTAATTCCTGCGATTAGAAACGTCTGAAGCTAGGCTTTTCGATTTGCTGGCTACTCTACTTCTCAGCCGGTGAACTTTGATTTGATTCTGCTTTCGTTTCGCTTTCGGTAGCTAATCGTTTGGTATTTTCTGGAGATGTACGTAGTTTGAGCATTTAGCTGATTCAGATCGAGTTTTTTTAGTTGTTGGTAGTTTGGGATTTGTGGGGTTGAATTGTTTGGAGTTTGGGTGTTGGATATGCGAGATTCTGGAGGTGTAACTTAGGTCTGATTTGAATCTTGATTTGTATAGTTAGGATAAAAGAGTGTTTTTAAAAGCTTCGTGTTTGGTTGTCTGTATTTGAATTGATGTTCTTGATTTGAGCACAGGGTTTGGATTAGTGTATCTGAATCTAATTTTTTTATATTATTAAGCTCTATATTGGGATTTTTGTATTTGAATTTGCAGTATTTTTAGCTCCATTATTGGGTTCTTGAATTTGAACTGAATTTCAATTTTAGACCTGACAATGGAGTAAGTCCGTAATAATTTGAGCTTCATGATTGGATTCTATGTGTTCGAATTTACTCCCTCCGTACCTAAATATTTGTCATATTTGCTTTTTCAGTAGTCGTGGGGACTTTTGTTTATTTCTACGTTTTCATTGGTTATTTGATAAAATATACTCTGTAATATTCTTGACACCTCTTATTTTGAAGAACTTTTTAAGTATTTTTTTGATATGTAAATTTTATTTTTTATTTCTATACCAATATGTAAATAAAATCAATTGAAAAAACTTGATATTTTACCTCGATAATAGAAGTGTGACAAATATTTAGGGACAGAGGGCGTATAATTTTAGATCCATATTTGGATTTCTGAATTTGAATTGAAGTTCCTTATTACACCAAGTGCTGGATTTCAGATTCAGTTATATGTTCTCTGCCCTCTCTCTCTGTCAATTTGATCTCTTCTTTTTTTTTGTTTCACAAAATGTTGAAATATTTATCTTTTGAGTGGTGCTTGGATTGTTTAAACCTTGTGAATTTACTCTGCAGGGGATGATTACCAAGTTAAACATGCATTTTCATCTCCTGAGTTATTCACTCTATATTTTTTTCTGGTGCAGTTTGTATATACTAATCGTAATATGCCCAAGCAGAGAAGAGACCGATCTCTATCTTCTGATAGGACGAGAGCATTTCCATACCCAAGTAGTTCAAGCCGCTCAAGGCATTCCCTTCAATTAGATCATCTGGAAAACAATGAAAATTTAAAAGAATGGGAAGAATCAAGATGCCCTGTTTGCATGGAGCATCCACACAATGCCATTCTCCTTTTGTGTGCATCCCATGACAAAGGCTGCCGACCTTACATGTGCGACACAAGCTACCGCCACTCCAATTGTTTTGATCAGTTCAAGAAATCATTCGACATAAACCCACCAGCTTCTATTCATCAAGATGACATTACCGTGGCTGCCCCTGTGATATCATCAGGTCAGGGTGCAAGTGCGGGTTCAACAGTTGCACCTGACGTGGCTTGTGAGAGTCACGAAAAGAACAATATGTTATGCCCCTTTTGTAGAGGGAGGGTCAATGGGTGGCTTGTTAACGAGCCTGCCCGTAATTTCATGAATGCAAAAGCAAGAAGCTGTTCTTGTGAGACATGTGACTTCAATGGTACATATGCAGACTTGAGGAAGCATGCGAGGTTAATCCACCCTTTGGTACGGCCCACAGAGGCGGACCCCGAAAGGCAGCGTAACTGGAGTATGTTGGAACGGCAGAGAGATTTTGGAGATTTGCTAAGCACACTGAATTCTTCCCTTGGGGACGACGAGAGCGAAGGGAGCGGCACCTTGACCATTGATGATGGAGGATTGCTAACTGTTTTTCTTTTTGTTAGAATCCTTCAACCAAGGACCCGTTCTAGGAGCAGCAGCAGCAGGTATCCCTCATCCAGGTCCAGAAGTCAAGCCACTTTTAGGAGGCGGCCTTCGAGGAGACTTTGGGGTGAGACCTTTGATGGTGAAATGGAGTCCAGAGATGATGATAATGAAGATTCTGATGCTGGGACTGCTACAAGGAGGCATCAACCAACACCAGAAACTTAGTGGTGTGTGCGGACACGGGGTTTTCTGCCTGGTTTCATTGAACACTCAAGCTGCAGGTATACACTCGTTCCTGTTTATCTATATTCCACCAAGTTTGTTCCTTTTTATCAGTCCTCTTAATGAAATCCATGAGCATTACATACGTTTGTTCTTTCAAAATTTACCCTTCTCATCCTCTTTCGAAATGATGAGAAGTAATTTATCCCCCTTCATTTTATATTAGTTTTCCCACTTTGACTTCACGGAGATAATGATAAGTGTTAAATAGTGAAAAGTGAGTTAGAATTTGTTTAGAAGAAAGAGAATTATTTTGGACCTCATATGATTCATATCCTTTTTCCGAAAAGGAAAAGATAAAAGTGAGAAAATTATTCTGTGACAAATGAAAAAGGAAAGTGAAGGGATGTTTGTGGGACAGAGAGTGTACAAGTAAATGATGTCATTTTCAAGGATGCTAGGGGTACACCAAAAGTGTACCCCAAATGTACACCACCCCCTCCATTATCACTCATTTTTATTTATTTATTCCTTTTTTATTTAACATGCCAAAATATGTGGTAATGGAGGGGGTGGTGTACATTTGGGGTACACTTTTAGTTGCACCCCTAGAATTTTTGTGTCATTTTACGTAAAATATAGAAACTTCAGATTTATTTGCCACTCAACTGCATTTTCTTACCCTGTGATTTGGTTAATGAAGAGAGGTAGGAACGTATACATTTTTCTTTTTACTTTTTTAGTAGACATTACATTTGCATTGCTTGGAAACAGTATACTATCCCTCACCACCATTTTTGTGATCTGTTTGGATTTTGGAACTCTGTTAATTGCAAGGCAGAGAATTAGGGATGAAATAGTCAAATAGAGTTCCCCACCCACCATTTTTGGGATCTGGTGGAATTCAGAAAATGGTAAGAAAATAGGGATGTGAACATGGGGAAAGTAGTAGGTCAGATGTAGGGGAAACACTTAAAAATATTGGTTCATACCCAATAAATCAAGTTCAAATATTTATTAGGTAATATTGGTTCATACCCAATAAAAACATTCAATCAAATTTTTCTTTCTTTGTATATTCTAAAGGGAAACCAAACATAAAAACCATTTTCCTTGCCATTTCCCCACTTTAAAAAATAGAATTGGTGAATGGTGGTGAGCATGAACTTCTTTGTTTTTTTGCCGTGCAGAACGGATAGAATCTGGGGAAACCCTTGAGTTGGATTTGCACTCCAGTAGTCCTGCTGAGACCTGATAGTAGGACGTCTGGTACCTGGAATTGCAAACTACAATTTGAGAGAATGGGAAAGATATTTGTATTTTGTACATTGTTTCCCCCTTGCAACCCTCAGTTCGATTTGGCACTGTTCATGTTTGAATTCTATGTTTGAATGGATGAATATGAAAGCAAGATCTTGTTTGCTTCCTTAAAAATTGAGTATATAACTAACTGTGTGTACCTTTTATGGTTGTCATTTGGTGTAAGAAGTAAGAACAATTGGCATGATTTGGCCCTGCCTCTTATTGCCTTCCAAAGTGCTGTTTGGTTTAGCTGTTTTATTTGGAGTATTGTTCAAAATGGTCTGAATGTTTTACCTTCCCAAACTCTTCTAAACCTTCTTAATTCTGGCATCATTAGGGCCGGCTTTTTCGCCTTAATTTTGATTGGAGTATGGAGACTGGAGTCAATATACTGGCACTGGTTTTAATCAAAGTCTGGAGCCAAGATGCCCTAGATTTAATCAAAGAGTCTGAAAGTGGGAGATTGGTGTCTGAAGTTTGGATATGAAGGTTGAAAAGAACATGCCCCCTATTTCACTTATTTATGTAGCAAGGCTTGTACTTGTCTTTATTTGTTTGGCTAAATTAATCATATTGCAAGTGTTTGGAGATCTTTGACAGTTGAATTAAATTGTATCCCACATTGTACTCCGAAGGCATGCATCAACATTTTGTGATAGTGTGATGGTTACACTAACAGAAAATGATAGTGCAAAATTTTTTATTGATCTAATATTTTCGTGCCAGTGTGAACCGTTCAAATTTTGGTGTATCTTTTTGAGGTACAATTTGGGGTATATTTTTTGGTGTACCCTAATTATGGTTTTTGACAATTACATTGAAAAAATAGTTTATTTTATGCAACGGATGGAAGAGCACTTGTTTGAACAAAAGTCTATTTTTAGGTCATTACACCTTGGTTCCTTTGGTATCCATGTGATGTGATATTATAACACTATTTCAATGTGAAAATGTTTTTGAATAAGATTGGGTTATTAATTTTATATCTTTTTATGTAAATTAAATTAAAAATAACTCCAATCACATATCGTAATTCGAAAATTAGAACGTTATTATGAGATAAAAGAAGCATATAAAATAATTTAAGACACCATCCACCCAGAGTCAAATTGTGATATTAGGTCACTCTGAGGTACCTACAATACCCGAGGATTAAATTGTGATATTAGGTCATTTTAAAGTACCTAAAATGTTCTATTCATTCTCAAACTGGGGAAGTGGTTCTTATCTTCACGTCTGGGCAACACCAATCCCAGTCTCCCTCTATTCCGAAATAATTTTTTCTTTTACTCCCTCCATACCAAATTATAATGCATGTTTATTATTTACAAGGTCAAACTTTATTCACTTTCTTTCTCTATTTTCGTTAGCAATCTGATAAAATAAAGAACTATTGTCATACTCCTACGCACATTCGTTCAAAATTGATGATCATATCCCGCCTAACATTTCCGGTAAACCTCCACACCCCAACCCGATCCCTCCACCCTCTTCAATTATGCTCCCCAATTTTACTTATTCAAAAAAAACACACACAACATTTCTCTCTCTCTCTCTTCTTCAAATTTTTTTCATCTTTTTTAACATGAATCTCTTTAGTTTTAATGCTCCTTTGTCCGGTCTCGATCCAAACGAGCAAGCGAATAAAATTTACTTTCGAGAGAAGAAAAAAAGCGATTGAGACTAAATATAATTTGCTTAAGTTTTTAATTAATGTAATTTTTTTAATTAAATGTTCTTTTTTTATTAAATGTAATTTTTATCTTATGAATTATTATCGTCTAAATTTAATTAATTAAGCTCGTTCAGAAAGTTGAGGGTCCTACCCCGACTAACATTCCCAATCAGCCTCCCGACCCGCTCCCTCCACCCCTTCAATTACACTACCCAATTTTAGTTGACTTTGGAGTTACTCCAAAGTCAACTGAAATTGGAGAGTGCAATTGGTGGGAGTAGAGAGGCAATTCAAGTCGGGTTGGGTGGGGGTTTTTCCGGAAGAATAGATGGAGCAAAAACTGCCAATTTTTCAAACGAACCTTCGTAGGGGTCCTAATTGAAGACCTGGTCATAATACGAGATTGGGGTTCAATGTGAACTCCTTCAATTTATAATCTGCACCCTCTAAATATGTATAAATGTACGAAATATACTCCGTATACTCTTTAGCTTGTACTTGTGTAACAAATAAATAAATGTACCAGATGTACAATGAATATCATATATTTTTTTTGTCCCAAAAAGAATGTCATATTTCACCATTCAAAAACCACACAAGCTTTTGTTTATTTATGTGCTTTCATTGATTATTTGATAGATTTTATCTTTTGTTTTGTAGAATTTTTGATGTACTTTTTAAATATGTAAATTTTATTTTTTATTTCTTTACATGTATTTAAATAAAATAAATTTAAAAATTTAAAAAAATTAGTTTGTTTTGCATAATGTAACAATATTTTTGGTTTTTTTTGCTACCAAATGACCATGGATATAAGTGTAATATATACGGAGTAAAAACTCGCCAAAAAAAAGATGCCTCTTGGGTACATCATTGACAAATCCTTATTCTCAAGATAGATTGCCATCATTATACACAAAGAGCCTTCATATAATCTTCTAAATTCTCTCTTCTTCTTTTTTTTTCTTCTTTTTTCTTTCAAAAGTGTTCTTTGTTGTTCATAAACAGAGATAAATAAAACAAATCATACATTTAAACAAAAATCAAATCATCTTCTGCCCAATTTTTCCTTTCCGATCGAAACTCCATTTGCAGGTTAGTTATCTTTTTGACTCTCTACTACTATAATCTTGATTTGTTATTGTTAGATTTATGCAGAAAAAATATATTGTTTTCAATTTTCTGTAATTGAGCTTGTATTTGCTATTCTTTAAAAGATTTTAAAAAGATTTTAAAAGATTACTTCATGATTACATAATAATAATCATTAGTTATTTCAGAAATTCAATATTTTTATACTCCAAGGGAATTTTTAGTTTACTGATCCCCAATTTCTGAATCATATCTGTTATCAAAAAGCAATCTATTGTTATTATAAAAATATCAAATTTCTCGGAATAGTGAAAATTGTGTAATCTTGGAGTATTATTGGGAATGTTGACATGAATTTTTTCTTTTCTTTTTATAAATTAACATTCTTGTCCTTTTTTGTGATTATTTTCTGTTTTTATTAAACAACAAAAAGAATTTATAATATTGTGGCATTTGACTTCATATATTCATGTATCTTCTTTAACTGAAATGTAAGCAATTCCAGATTCAAATACATACATACAGAGTATGTGGTGTATCTGTTTCTTGCTGGTTTTGAAGTTGAGATCATGAAAAGATGCTTTATTTTTCCCTGAAATGGCATTAAATAGAAAATTACATGATTTTTCAAATTAGATCTACCACAGATATCTCGTGATTTTTCAATTGTTTCTCGTCAATGAACAGGTTCCGTTGTCTGCGTTGTGTGAGGATGCGATACAAGAAGGGGAATTTGGTTGAAGTGTTGGATGAAAGCAAACCGCCCTTTGGCTCTCGGCGTTGTGCAGAGGTTGTTGGTAAAACCGGGGACGACTATGTCGTCCGGTACAACGCGAGGGACACATCAGGGGTATTTTTGGAAATGGTGTCAAAGAAGTCAATCCGGCCTTGCCCCCCACTTGTGGAGCTTTCGGGAAGATGGGCACCCGGGGACGTGGTTGAGGTGTTTCTCAACTGCACATGGAGAATGGCAATAGTGTCTAAGGTGATAAAGAAGAAGCACATTTTGGTCCGGTTGGTCGGGTCTTCAAACGAGTTCAAAGTCGAGAATTGTAACGTTCGTGTGAGGCAGTTGTGGAAGGATGGCCGGTGGGCCATAGTCGGAAAGGTATGGTAGCCGAGTGCTATTAGACGTTCTTCACATTGCATCATTCGACCCCATCCCACGGAGGGTGAGGTGACGTAGACCTTATCCCTGCTTTAAAAGGCAAAGTGGTCTTTTAAGATTGAACGCGGACGTAATGTATGTCCATATTCATTCAAAATCTTATGTATCTAAAAAGCCATAACATAGACCTGGATGGAGTAATTGTTTTCTTTAAATTATTGAATTATTGATTTCTCTTTACATGTTCATTTCTTGCAGGATCCAACTAAGAAGTCGACTAACATTTCACGCATTCGATCTAACATAACGAAATCAAGAGCAAATCCTCGCGGAAATCATGAGCGCAAACTTCATCACATCAACGTCCCGTGCATCGGCTTTTCAAGAACTCAAAAGAGAGGGCTATGGACACATACACATCCTCGGAGAGAAGACGACAATGGAGCTGAATCGGATAGTGCTAGTGTGTGTAGCTCCGTTGGGAGTTGCAGCAGTGCTGCTACTAGCCCCAAGTTTTCAGTGGTGCCTACGTGCGACTCCGACGAGCGGAAAAGCGAGGGAGAGTCGGTTCGCGAAGAAATCCACCGGCTCGAATTGCGTGCGTACCGCGCAACAATCGAGGCGTTGTATGCTTCGGGTCCTTTGAGCTGGGAACAGGAAACGTTGATCACGAATCTTCGCGTGTATCTCAATATATCTAACGACGAGCACTCGTTGGAGTTGAGGAATTTGATATCAAATGCCTCATCAAGCTTTTCAAATGTCAGCTGAGACTGCATTTAACCTAAGTTGGTCGGAGACGAGGACGGGAACGGGTAAATATCAAACGTTCCAAATTTTACGAAAAAAAGTGTCGGAACGTCCCCATGTAAACAGTCTCTCTAGTTTTTAGTAGGCGTATGCGTACCCACGCCCTCTCCAGACCCTACTATTATAAATTCAAACTAGGACAGAAATGTAAGAATCTTTTCTTTCTTTTTCTTGTAAAAAAGCAAAATGACAGATGATTTAGGGAAGCTAGCTTGCTGTGCTCTACCTATATTCAGTTAGCTATGTAACAAATTTTCAAGCTTTGTAATGTTTTCTCTATCTCTAGCATTTGGAAACAACTTTAATTTATTTATTACTCAATTTGTCTATTTTTGACTTTTTTTGGTCAAAATTGGTAAACTTTGACCTTAAATTAAATAAAAATGGTATATTAAATATTGATACAAAAATAGTTTTATTAGATTTATGATATGAAATATTTTCAAAATATTACTTTATTAATTAATATACATTATATATTTTATTCAATTATAGGTTAAAGATTGAAAACAGTTTACCGGAAAAAGTCAAAACTGGACAAATACTCATGGACGGAGGTAGTATACCCCCTCCTTCCTAAATTATGTTTTAATTTTAGGTTTTGAAGGCAAATCCCTTATAACTTGATCTTGATTTGCATTAGAAGTACATTAAACTATAACATGAACTTTGTATCATTAAATTCATTGGGAAATATAGCTTAGAAAATCAGCAACAATAATATTGTTGAAGTCAAAGATCAAGAAGTAATCAGGTTTTTTCATATAAAAAAATGCAATAGTACTCCCTAGTACTCCCTTTGTCCGAAACTATATTCCTCTCACTTTCCTTTCTATCCTTTTTGTATGTCTTGAAAATTGTCACACTTTTTAACTTTTCTAATAAAATAAATAATGTATACTTCAGTAGTTCACAATTTCTCTCATTCTTCTAAACAAATTTGAAGAACTCACTTTTTTTACTTTTCAATAATTTTTTAAGTTCAGTGAGTTCAAATTCTGCCAAGTAACTAGCGATTGAGAGAGTAAATATTGTAATTATCGATGATGAAGGTATCGAATTAGAGAGAGCAAAATTAGAAATGACCAAAAACGAAATTGAGATTGGTTCAAAACTTTCGAATTATATGTTCATATTGGTGCTCTAACGCTAATCGGACTATTTGTTCGACTACTTGAGAACACCAATGTGAATTCCAAGAGCACCAATTTGATTATGTAAACATAGAAAAAAATGTTTAGAGCAATGATTTTATTTATTGAATCCCGGATTAATTGTGTAACATCACACAATTCGAAACGTAATGACGTGAATTTTTTATTTTACATAACGTGAATCGAACACTTTGTTTTGGAACACATGATTGGGTATTTTGAGAAGTATACATTGTGGAAGTGGAAAAAAAAGATGAGCCACATTCCCGAGGGCCCCCTCAGACCTGGCCGAACGGTCACTAAGATAAGTAGATTGGACTTTAATCGCAGATTGGTGGCAAAGAGTGGAGCATGCACCTGGTACTTGCAGAGACCTTATACTTGGCATAGTTGCCTCCCAGCACAGTTGTCAGGAATCAAACTCGGGTCTTACTCCCTTGGCACTCCTTGCCTTGCCAACGCCCAACATCAATTGTGGGAGTGAAAGAGTGCATGAATGTGGTTAGATTTGAACAATTCTTAGTCATTGTCTTGTTAGCATGTCTTTCTGTCATACAAAGACAGTGTCATGTGATCTTCAATCCCCTTTCATGAGATCATATCGATGGTGTCAAATAATGCCATCCTCAATGGGTTAAAATGGTAACTAGAATATTTTTTTTGTTCTTTTTTTTTGAGGGAGTAACTAGAAACTTTAATGAAGGAAAATCTCTGACCTTAATGTAAAAATCACACACATTTTAAATACCAATTTTTGGAAATATTTTTTTAGAACGGAGGGAGTAACATAGTCAAGACTTGCAACCTACGGAATAGTAAATTGATATGACTGCTAAAGAAAAGTTTTTAATAATTTAAACGTAACCGGTAATTGCGGGAGAAAATTTTGAGAGTGATTTTCTTGTTATCAGATGTTGACGATTATGTTGTTTGCTTGATGCCTTGTTTGGTTGTTCTAAAACTAGCCCCTATCCCACTACCCCATATTCTTCATTATTCGCTCAATCTCTAGAATATGTCTAAAATGTAGACTATGACGAAAACAATAACTTTTACTATAGAGTATGTCACTCCAATATATTGTTACTTTCTAACTAAACTATTTTTGATTGGTTAAATTATACCACGTCAGCATGTGACATTTTAATATATGACTTGTCATTATTTATGGCCTTAGACATGATTGTCTACACACCCGCAGTTTAGCGATTTTAAAACTAGACTAGAACGTTTACCTACATATCTTATAAAATGAATTTGCAACCGTTGCAAATTTCATTATTAACTAGAGAACTTTTGCATGTTTATGAATATTTTTGGTGACTAAAACCTTTCAGACTGATAGACTGATTGAAGAAAATAATATCACAGAAATTGGAATAAAAAAGAATTGAAATCGAACTTGCGACGAGGGACCAAGCAAGTGTTTGACATTGGTCCGATTCAAGATCATTGGTAATAATAATCAGAACTACGACCCGTTTTCACCAACACATTTAAAAAACGACTAGGATCCGTTAAGAGTCGTTTTAAGTGTCAATGGATGACTCGTTTCTATGTTTATACCTATCATATACGGAGTATGAATTATGCCTATATCATATAAGCATGTCAATTTTGTCACAGATGAGTTACAACTGCGCATAACAATCTTGGATTGTGTACAAGTGTCACCACCTTGGTGTACAAAACTACAAATAGATTTGTCGATTGTGGAAAATACTTAATATGTTGTACATTTACACCAAACTGACACCAACCTAAAACTCAAGCTACTCCCACATGTAAACCCTTCAAAACTGAAACCAGGGATAGAACCGGTCTTGACACTTCAAAACCAGTTTACTAGTCAAACCAGTGATTCAAATGCTCTAGTAGATTAAACATAATTTAATAAGAGTATTATGTATATTCAATATTTATATACTCCGTAATATATACTCAAAAAGAAAAATAATAATAATAATTATATAAAATAGTTGAATAATCGAGTATTATAATACTTAGTAATTGAATATTATATGATCCGCGTATATATACAATAAGAAATAGAAATAGTTGCTTTCTAAAAAAGAACGAAATAAGACTCTTTGGCACAAACTTAGGGGAAAGCGACTACTCCTCCCATTCCAAACTAAATTATCTATTAACTATTTACAAAATCAAAATTTTTTATTTATTCTTTTTTATTGGATGGAATAATATACACATAAACTTTTGATATAATTTTTAATATGTAAATTCTGTTTTAATAATTTCTCTAATTTTTTAAATAAATTGTATCAAAGAAAATAACAAAAAAATTTTAAATTAGATCGGAGAGAGTAATTTACTTGGACCATGCTAGGGTGTCACCACATGGATACTACCATGGGTGCACCCATACTTCGCACAGACAAACACAAACAATAATTGTCTGTGTCGCTAAGACAATTATCGTCTGTGTTTGTCTGTGCGAAGCATGGGTGCATCCATGATAGCACCCATGTGGTGGCACTTTAGCATTTTCCAATTTACTTATGTCTATATATTTTCACAAGTTCTAGTTTGGAAGACCCAAGCCATTACCATTAGCAAAGTTACCAAAACAAACAACGTACGCGTGAAGATAGAGAAGCAAGATTGTAGATTTGGCATATCAATCCACATAAATATCAATGATGCAGGCACATTAAGATGCAAATAACAAAACCCGCTCCCGAGGTAGATTCACACACAATTAATGTCTAGAAAATTCAAAATTAAAAAAACACATAACTCGTGCTAGTAGTATGTAGCACAAACGTTTGGGGGTGGGGGGAGAGACTATCCAAACACGTAAATCGGCTCAAGAAAAAGTACCCCACGATCTAAGAGCCACAATGCTTGGGAACAACTAGAGATAGATGAGCAGCAGTGGTCATAGAATGGGGCAAGCCTTCCGAAAAAAATATCTAATCGAAAGCCTCATCTTCATCTGGAAGTGGCATACTCGCTGCTTTTTTTAGCTCTTCTTCATGCCTGAAAATACAAAAATCAGTGTTGATCAGTCTTTGTATCAGAGAAATTAACAGGAAATGCAGGTTCTCTTATATGCTCATATAAGAGAACTATGATGAGTTTGGAATAGAGTATTCATTCCTCCACTCTACTCTTTCCTCCAGCCCAACTCCCCCACACACCACACAACATTTCTCTATTCTTTCCCTTCCCTACAAAAGCCCTCTACCCAAACAAGGCCTGGTATCGCATTACCAATTCGGTCACCTACAAAAGTAGTGGTGCAAGACTCCATAATGCTGCAATGGATCAACTTAGAAGATGATTGTCACTCCCACCACTACTTTCTAAACACTTACCAAGATGTTCCGTGCATTCCCTTTTTATCTCCCCCTTCCCTTTAATGCCTGTTCCTATTTGTCATTTTTTGCTACCCTTTTATGGAAAGAATTGTGTAGTCCGTATTATTCATTCCTAAATAAAACTCAACCACACACACATCTTCTAAAACTACATGCCAAGTGAAGAGTGCTTTTATAAGGATGCAATGCTTGATTAAGTTAAGATGGAGTATATAAAGCACTAATCAGAAGTATGATGGGACGCAGAATGGACTTACTGCAGCTGTGCAACCATGTCCACTTGTACTTCTGGAGGAGCAAGAGCAGGCGCAGACACAAACGTAATGGCCGCATCCCTATATATATATATATATATATATATATATATATATATATATATATATATATATATATATATATATATATATATATATATATATATATATATAAACGGAAGAATATAAGAACATCAATTTGTACTTAGACTATTAACAACAAGAAATCAAAACACAGAAATATTGGATACCCAGCAAGCTTCCTGGTAAGGTACAAGAAAGGCTTCTCAAAATTGTAGTTGCTCTTTGCAGAGATCTCATAGTACTGCAGATTTTTCTTCCTGTGGAAAGTAACTTGCTTTGCTTTCACCTGTCTGTTCTTGACATCAACTTTATTTCCACAAAGAACAATGGGAATGTTTTCGCAAACCCTGTACAGAAAAAATGGATTATGTTCTAATACCCATAGCTAATTGAGTTGGTTGTTTATGACACTACAAAAGCATTTTTATAAGATGACACTAAAATAAACCTGCAGAGATCGCGGTGCCATGTGGGAACATTCTTGTAAGTCAGCCGTGCAGTAACATCAAACATAATTATTGCACATTGCCCATGAATACTGCAAAATGGAAACATGGAAGGAATGTTAAACACTGTTTAACATAAAAACCAAAAAACATGCTCTTAAAAGTTCATACTTGTACTTCTTATACTCTACTATACAACCAAAAAATGAGAATATGGTATCAAACCAAATGATAACAATATAATTTCAAATAGCACTATATAGCTAACATTAAGAACTACATGAAATAAATGACAAGGAATGCGATTCTTCTAGGCATAAATAGATGAGTAGAATGCAAAACCACGGTGTATTGAGCCTCTTTTAAGAATGCAGTTAGAATATAAAACTTACTAGTAACCATCACGGAGTCCTCCAAACTTCTCTTGTCCAGCTGTGTCCCAGCAGTAGAAACGAATATTTCCATGGGATGTATGGAAGTCCAATGGATGAACCTCAACGCCAATGGTAGCTGTCAATTTTTTACAAGGTTAAATATGAGTATAAAAACCATTACTATCCTACTGTCCCATAAAACAATCCACCAGATGTATAACTTCTTATGGTATTTGTGCGTGCAACTGAGGTTATAATATTTATCTTTATTAAAGAAAATTCAAAACATGCTCCATCTATCCTGAAATGAACTGCCCATTTGGGTTTACAAGACTTGGCCAAATTTACTTTGAATTCAATTTATTTAATTGTAGGTGTAAAATTTAAAATTGAAATTCATTTATTAGAAAACTACATAAACATACATAAAAACAAGAGGTGTTATGATTATTTATCACTCCGTATTATGAAATGAGATAAAAAAAAATAAGCCAATGAATAAAATTTAGGTATGTGAATAGTGTGAGCAATGCATTCCCGAAAAGAGTAAGTAATATAGAATGAAAATTATTTTTTAAAAATTCCAAGAAGACTCCTTTATAAATAATTAATTTTTTTATTCAAATAACCCTTCTTAACAATTATCCAATTGGGAATTTTATGGGACAGGGGAGTTTGATGAAAGCAAACAAAAATCCAACTATGAGATTAAGTAATATCTAAAACAAGTTCCTTACGTTCATATTTCTTTTCAAATTCACCAGAAAGATGCCTCTTCACGAAAGTGGTTTTTCCTGCCACAATTAGAAGATGTTTTACAAGTTGAGCCACAACAAAAAGCTATTAGAGAAAGAAAACAAAAAATCTCATCCACAAATTACACATACCAGTCCCTCCATCACCAACAATGACAAGCTTGAAGCTTGGGTAGTCCACAGTTTGCTGATTAGGGAGAGCCTACAAGAAAAAATATATAAAGCTCATTTACTACAATCCACGGGTCACGGAGGACTTTATTCATACACAAGTGATGAACCCGGATAAGTTAAACCTAAACGTCCTACCAACACACGATGAAATCATCAGTTTCTCTTTAGATTTCCGAGAGAGATCGGATCAAAAAATCACAAATACATTCGGTGATTTGCACCATACAAAGAGAATCTAGATCTTAGACATGTAAATCGGATCAAGCGTCGCAGAATAAAGGGGATCAATAAAGCTACAGCGAATGGGCACAACCAATTGCAAAAGTTCATAAAGGAATGGGTAAAAGATTATAAATACGAACGAGAACTAGAAGCAGATCGGAATATAAAAGACTGCACGCAGACGACCACTGTTCGGAACAAAGGAAAATAAAAACAAGAACGAAATAGACAAAAGGAACACAATAGATCAACAGACGGGGACGGAGTCGCCTTACCATGTTCGTCGATCGAGAAACGGGAGAGCAGATTGGATTTGGAGCGGCGATGGGAAGAAAGAGGAAGAACGGAGCGGCGGAAGGAAGGGTTTATAAGAGGGAGAGTGGCTTTAAATCCACGCGACTGTGTTTATAATGATCTTTCTAGTAGTAAGTTTAAGCTAGGGTTGTACGCGGTTCATGTGCTACTACTACTAGAACCAAGGGGTGGTAGGGGTTCATCGGTCTAAAACCGGACCGTACCGGATACAATCCAAAAAAAATCGGGAAATTGGAATCACTTAAAGTATGGGATCAAAAACCCGATCTCCTAGGTTTTGATCCGGACACATTTTTTCCCGGTCTGGTCCGGATAAAAACCAAAATATTTGAAATTTATTTCTTTATTTTTTCAAATTGTTTTAACTTGTTTCTTGACAAGTATGACGACATAGCTTGATTTGAATTTATTTCAACCATACTCTTTATTTTTATACTCCCCGTCGGGAGTGTTTCAAATTATACTAATGCATTTTCAAAAAAATATACTAATATAGAATACTTTTATCTATAATAAGATAAGTTTGTGATAAATTTTAGGTTGAGGTAAGGATAATTGAATAGGGTAATAAGACACTTGGGCATAACCACGTTTAAAAATTGAATCCAATCAATTAATTAGTTCAACTCAAGATATTATATACCGATTACTTTTATGTTTAGCTTCCGATGTGGGATAGACTCTAACACTCTCTCTCAAGTGGACAATCGATCTATTTTGAATCTAATCGATTGACCACTTGCAAATAGATTCTAACTTCCTTGATTTTGTTTTAGCGTCAACGCCTAAAAGACCACGAACCGTTAGGTATAGACTTCTAGACGAGCAATCCGGTTAAAGGAGTCACGGGTCGTTGGGTACATATTACAAACAGACAACCGGACTAAAGACAAACAGATCACTAGGAATGAACGTCTAGCTAGACAGACTGTAAGGCCTATCAGAATTAATTAATTAATAATTAATTAATTACTCGGAAAGACCCAAAAATAAGTGATTTATAAAGTTTGTCAATAAACAATAAAAATTATATCATTATGTAGAGTTTGACTGTCTGAACCCAACGGTTCAATCGGATTTCAATTTGGAGAAAGTTGGACAAAAAAGTATACCCCGACTCGGACCAAATATTAGTCCCAATCAGGGGCTACACACCAAATGGCGCCATGTTCAATTACGCCGCTTCTAAATCATCGATCAATCACGGGAGCTGCAAACCATGTCTTCTTCCTCTTTCACTTGGCTACTTAAGAAGAACCAATTTCTTCAATTCTTCACTAAAACAATTCATTCTTTCTTCTATCTTGTTCCTTGCAGAGAGTAGAGTGCAGTGGTGTTGTCATATTTGTGTGAGGTCGCCGGAGTAGAGAGTTACTGTCGCTAGAAGTTTCGCCAGGAAATTCTGAAAACCTTCATTTAACTTCAAGGTAAGCCCGTAGATATATATAATGACTAGAATGTTCATATAGGTCGTTTCTACGTTCATAAATGGTCATTTGGTTGAGTTTCGTGTTTGATATGTTTGAAAAACTAAGAATCATAAACCTTGAATTTGATGTTAAAACTATGAATTAATGATACCAAAATGATTTATAAACCTTGGAGAACATTTCTATATAGTTTAATTGAAGTTCGGTGACTAAAAATGGTATTTTCGAAATTGGACCCGTAACGAAGAAGACAATGAACAGTGGCTGAAGAACCAAAGAGTGGATTGATCCACCCTCATAGTTCAATCCAAATGAGTAGTTTCTATACGGAGGATCGATCTAAAGTGTTGGATCGATCCCCCGATCTATCTGCTCCGAAAATACTTCTGAAAATGTTATTTTTGAGTCCAAAAATCCTATTTTTGATACCAATCAATTATGATTAATATAAAGATGATTTCTTGGAATAAAAATGGTATTTTGACAACTAAAAGGACCTTAAGTGATGCATGACGGTAAGCTAAGGTGTTAACACTCGACGCTAGACCGCTAATAGTTATTGGATATTATGATGATTAATTGTTGATTATAATGAATATTAGGGATTAATGATGATGATTATTCTGAATGAAATGATGATAATGAATTCTTGAACTAAGATTTAAAATAAATGGATTGATGAGTTGTACTGTTAAGGCTATCTAGAAGACCTCTAAGATAGACCTCAAATTTGTATGGGCCTTGCGGGTATATTTATGTATATTCGGTGGCTTTGGGTAAAAACGTACGTACATGGTTCATAAATCAAACTTGAAGATCACTCGTTTGGGGATACCACCCAACCCGACAGTTAGTATTCAACTGTACGGTTATCTGGATTGTACCTTAAGCGAAGGCTAGTTTAAGAGTTGGAAAGTCGGATGAAAAATATGTACCTTAAACTGACCTAGCTTAAAAGTTGGTTAGAAGTATCTTAAACTAGAATTAGTTTAAAAGTTGGAAAATAATACAGAAGATTGGCTTAGAACATTTTAAGGATATTGTTGAATGTTGAATGTTGGATATAAATATTGAATATTGAATAATGATTATTGAATATCTGAATATTATGTGCATGATATCAAATGGATGATTATGAATTGAGATTCTATTTATATGGATGTTCGACTCTTTAGATATGCTTACTGAGTTTCACCGCTAAGCGTGTAGTGTCTTTTATTTGCTACACGCAGGTAGGCAGAACGAATGATTGGCTGATTCCTGGTAGCAGAAGAGGCGAGACAATCGTGGTGGATTCATGATTAAAATAAATAATTGTTTGTTATGAGACATGGTTTAAATTCGCTTCCGCATTATTATTAAACACTCTATATTTTTCTACTGTTATGTATGGAATACTATTTATGATGAATACAGTTATTTAAAAATATTTTGAATTTTACGATTATCAAGTTTATACTTTAGTCCGAAAGGGGCTGCAGACCTAGACGCATTAGGGTGTTACACAGACACCTTAACAAGGTGAGACAAAATCGGTTTTAATACCATGATAAAATTCTGGTGAGCCGAGAACAACAGATGAAGTGTCGGGTAAAATTAATCGCTTGCATATAAAGTCGGGATACACTATTCTAAGAAATATTTGCACTTAATAGCACTAAAACTTAAGTCATTTCTCTAAATAGCACTTAAATTGTTTTATTCCCTAAAAAGCACTTAATAATGTCCATAATGTCATGTGATGGCAAGTATTTGTTTGAATAATGACTACTGCATAATGACTAAAAGTGTTACATTGAGAATAAAAACACATGTGGTGCTATTTAGAGAAAGTTATTATGTTTTAGTGATATTTAAGTAAATTCCTCCTATTCTAATCTAATCCACTATTCTAAAGTAGGGATTCACATTTCTATATATGCTAGTAGTGTTCATCTTTATTTTTCTATAAATAATCTTTATTTATCAAGTGAATCAGTAAGTATTTGGTATGCATATTGTCAGATCGCTGCAATCAACTATGTAAAGTCAACTTTCCGTCACAGATCATGTTGCAATATAAAAAGGGCCACACCCGCCTAATTATTGTATTATTTTTCACGAGGATCCTCTGTTAGTATTCTCGTTAAGAGCATAAATTCACACTTCTCTCTCTTTCCAATTAAGCCCTTGACATCATCTTGTATTCCCTTTCAAATCCGTCGCTGAGTTTGAAGCTCTGAACTCACAACCAAAATCATTACTCTTCTCTCAATTGTTTGTCTTCTTGGTAGTTAGAACTCAAAATCGAAACGAGTAACCTTCATTGATGAGTTTCAAGATTTATTTTCTTTCCAATTTCTTGATACTAACCCATGAAGGTTATTTATTTCAATTGATGGATGAGTAATAGTTTTGTTTGTGAGCTTAGAGCTTCAAACTCAGCAATGGATTTGGGAAGGAATGCAAAAAGATGGGGGAAGCTTAATTGAAAAGAGAGATGGGTGTAAATTCACAATTTTTTCTATCTTTTTAACAAAAATGTTAACAGAGGACAATTCGTGAAAAACAATATAATAATTAAAGACTAAATTATTGAGATTTGATATGTGAAGGTTAAATATGGAAAACAATCTATAACTAGAGACTTTTTTATGAGATTTACTCTAAAATAAATTGAAAAGATTAAAAATTTATTTTATTTTACGTATTGTGACTAGGGGTGTGCACCGGTCCAAAATCGGACCGGACCGAAACCGGAATCATCTATTTGCAAGGACCGAAGACCGACCTGTTAGATACCGGTCCGGACCGGTCCAGACCTGAATTTTCTAGTCCGGTCTGGGTTTACCCTATTATGAACCGGATTTTAAACATAAATGACCTAATTTTCATTATAAAAAATTTATATCTAATATAAATTATACATGTATATATATATATATATATATATATATATATATATATATATAGTATATAATATCATCAATCCTCAAATTCATAACAATAACAATTCAATAGAGAGGGCAATTGTTAAATTCATAAGTTCATAACACTACAAAATCCATGAAAAAAAATTCAAACCAAAGTTCAAACTTCAAAGAAAAAAATTAAATAAAAAAAATACTTAAAGTAAAAATTGAAATTAAGTAACATATCATGCTATGAGCTTAAAAGAAGTAAAAAAGAAGAAATTTGAAAGGATAATGGTCTAGTGAATTAACTATTTATTTAAAAAAAATTAATATTTTATTATATACCGGTCCGGGCCGGATAATTCCGAGTTTAAACCGAACCGAACAGGAACCCAGAATTCTAAATTTTGGAGGACCGAAGACCAGACATGAGAAGTCCGGACCGGTCCGGACCAATCCATTCCGGTCCGGTTCAGGTTTAAATTCCGGTCTGGACCTGTTAATGCAGAGCCCTAATTGTGACAAACATTTTGGGATTTGAAAGAGAGACGAATGAGATTGAAAATTCCGAAGAAGAGATTTGATTTGTGAAGTTGAAGGGAGAGTAAAAAAGGAGAGAAATGAGAGATAAATAATCGAAAAAAACAAATTTATTTTAAGAAAATCATTGCAATTTGCAACAGCTCGTGGATGGGAGTAGGGATGGACACGGTACGGTTCCGGTTCCGGAACCGCCGGTTCCGGTACCGCCA